ACATGGGCTCCTCTGGTGCGGCACCAGGACAGGCTCTTACAACGCTTTGCAGTGAAGCTCTTCTCCATGTCGCTGTGACAATGAGCTGCTCTTGTCTGGCACTGTGAAGAGTGTGATGAATGACTGCAAAGGGTGGTGTTATGAAGAGGTATTCTGGGGCAATAGGATGATGGACTCCTTCAGGTTGCCATTGTGAAGGTTTCTCATGGTTGTAACATGATTATTGGCATCTCTGGGGTGGTGCAAGGAAGGGCTCCTTTGCTCTGCATCTGTGCCAGCATGGGTTCCCCCGGGGCTTTGCAACCATGGAATCCTGCAGGATGGTGCAACAATGGGCTCCTCCAGGGCATCTCACTGAAGGGCACCTTTGGTGTGGAATGGTGAAGGGCTCCTCTGCGGCAGAGCAATGTATATCTCTTGGCCTCTTTCTACACAAGACGGAGATCCACACAGCAGGGCTTTTCTTTCTGTACACAGAAGTGATCCAATCTACAAAATACAGACACCGCTGAGAACAGGATTTTGCTTACCTCTGTGCACAGCACATACACCAAGAGGAGAGGAAGGCTTTTCAGTCTATAAACACCACAGCCTATCCACAATCAGAACAGACACAGGCAAGGTGAAGAGAGGCTTTTCTGTCTACACACAGAATATGGGGACTAAATATGCATGTACACAGAAAAGACATGCCTCACCTATGTCTACATTTAGTATCTACCACCTGTGCACACATGACAGGCCAACAACAAGAAGAGACTTTTATGTCACTATACAGACTCTAGACTGTCTTCCTCAAGACTACACATGGACAGGCTAAGCCAGAGTTGGTTTCTCTGGATGTAGCCCCTAAGAGGAGATACTCTGCCTATAGAAAAGAGGTAATGAGGCTTTTCTCTCCAGACAGAGACTGCATTCCATCTGTATATAGAATGTACGCAGGCAAAATATGTCTTTACTGTCTAGTCATAGGCTAGATAGGCAGGGATTTTGTGTCTGCTTGTATAGTGTACCCTGGCTGTGCAGAGAACAGAAAACAACAGGAAGACTGCGTGCTCACTGGAGTAAAGCGTCTTTCTCCCCTCGCCACTGCCTGGGGAAGAGATGTCTGCTCCCCTGGCCGTTCATCCCAGAGACACCCTCCTCCTCCCCCGCCTCAGGGCTGTGCTGCTCCTGGCAGCTCCACAGCTGGCACCTCACACCCCAGACATTGCCTCCAATGGACCCCATGTCAGCCTTGACTGCTGAGAGCTGATCGGCAGAGCTCCCCGCAGAAGTTAAGCTTTCACCTTTCTAACAACAAATCTGAGTCATCGAGCACTGACACAAGCAAAAAGAATTACGCAAAAATCACACTAATCTGCAGGTTTTGCCTCAGCTTCTGGCAGACCTGGATCTTCAGAGTTTCAAGAGCTCTGGAAAGTTCCCACACTCTGGTATTTCCAGATTTTGATCTTTCTTACCACAGGGATATCCCTTGGCAGTGCCCGGTGTAGAAGAGCCCTGAGGAAAACTCCTGAGCAAACCCCAGCTGTGTGAGGTGCTGCACAAAGAGCAGGGCCCTTCCACAGGGCTGAACTGAAATGACTTTACCTCAGTTTGGCCAGTGGTTACTACAGCCACAGGGAAATTTGGCCAGCACGGCTTCAGCCAAACTGGTAAAGAATGGATAACAAATGGGAAATTGTGGATATTCTTTTGAGGGCACAACCGTCACTTCTGTTCAATCTTGCTAAAATCAAAGCTATTGCACCTGGAAGAGCTGGGAGGGGGCACTTAAAACTTCCAGCCTCCTGAGAGAGAGGCAGGTCTCGCTCCATGGCAGAGGCATTTAGGGCATCGGCATCCCTGAGGGGACACGTGAATGAGGAAAAACACAACAAATGCTGCAGGAACCATGAAAACAAATGCTCCTGCACAACGCCATCAGGCTGGGGTCTGAGAAAGAAAGCCTATCTGTGGTCCAAGAACATGCACCAGCCTCACCAACCCTGCACTGCTCCACCACGTCCCCAGAGCAACCAGGTTTGTCATGACAGGACGGCGAGGAATCAAAAGGGAGGAGGAGCAAAGGAAATTTAAATTAAATGAAAAATTCATTTTCTACGGACTCCAGTGCTCAGCCTCACACCGGCTGCAACCTCAGGTTTCAAACACCCAGTGGGATACCCACGCTCCGCTGCCTGAGCCACACTGGCGGCCTGGGGCCGCCCTCACGGCAGGGCGGGGCCGGGGCGGACCGGCCGGAGGCTCCGCATCCCCGAGCCGCCCGACCGCCGCTCCCCGCAGGAAAGCGGCTCTCTCCCTTCGCCGCTACCTGGCGACGAGGTGGCCGCTTCCCCGGGAACACCATCCTCCTCCTCCGAGCGGCGCCGCTGCCGGCAGCGCCACAGCCCGAGCCCCGGCCGTTGTCTCCAACGGTCACCGCGCCGGCCTGGACCGCCGGGACCTGACCGGCAGCGCTCCCCACCGGGAAGTGCCCGCCCGCCCGCCCTGAACCGGCAGCGCTCCCCACCGGGAAGTGCCCGCCCGCCCGCCCTGAAGCTCCGGAGGGAGCCGGGAGTCAAAGCGACGCCCGATGCAGAGCCCGCCCCGGGGGAAAAGCCGGGCAGGGCACGGCCAGGAGGGCGAGCTCAGTGCAGGCCAGCACCTCATCTCAGCCCCGGCCTCATCCCACTTGAAGCCCCCCACCTGTGGAAAGCCCCAGCCCCGCACTACAGACCCGCTCCGGCCTCCCCAAAGCGGGGCAGGGCAGGCGGCGGCACCCCTGCTGACCACCCAGCCTCTCCCCGCCGCAGCACCGCGCTGTCCCCCCGGCCAATGCCCTGGCACCCGTCGCTAGGCGACGGCAGCCCCCGCTGGGCCCCGGGGCCTCCTGCACCCCCGGGGCCATCCCGGCACTTCGGCACCCCCGTTCCCACACAGACCCAACATGGGGGAGGGCTTGGAGCTGCAGGGAGGGCTGTGGCCATGCACCGCTGGGCGCAGGAGCGGCAAGGCCCGGTTAATGCCTTCTCTCAGCAAGAAAAAAGGCGTCCAAGCCAGCCAAAAAACACGTCGGGGGTGTTGCACAGACCACCACACCCACAAAGTCCTCCTCCCCGCCCAGTGGAGGCAGCCACAAAATCATCAGCACTGCAGATAAAGAGGGGATTTGGCCCAGCCCTCCCATGTCAGTATCAACAACGGTTCATGTTGACTCCCCTCAGCAAAAACAAAAAGGAATAAACATAGTAAAACACCACAGCTGAGCCTACAGAAATCTCCCATTCCCTCGTCCAGGCACAACCTTGGTTCAGCACAGGCAAAATAGCTCTTGTGGGAACCACAAGGACAGCACCTCAGAGATGCATTACTTATTAGACATATTATTAACCAGTTAAAGTGTGAGAGGAAAAAAAAAAACCACATTCAGAATCCACCTGCTAATCTCCAAAACACCCCAAGTACATAAATTATTATCTTTCTTGAGCTCTTTGAGACCTGCTGATTACAAGTGCAATGCAAAAGTTGAGCTTTCACCTTTCTAACAACAAATCTGAGTCACCGAGCACTGACACAAGCAAAAAAGTTACTCAAAAATTACACTAATCTACAGGTTTTGCCTCAGCTTCTTGCAGAGCTGAATCTTCAGAGTTTCAACAGCTCTGGAAAGTTCCCGCACTCTGGTATTTCCAGATTTTGATCTTTTTCATCACAGGGATATCCCTTGGCAGTGCCCGGTGTAGAAGAGCCCTGAGGAAAACCCTTCAGCAAACCCTGGCTTAATGAGGGGCTGCACAAAGAGCAACCTTTCCACAGGGGTGAACTGAAATGGGGTGACTTTACCTCAGTTTAGCCACGGAAAACACATTTTCCACCTACTCCAGTGCTCACCTTCACACCTGCTGCAACCTCAGGTTTGAAACACCCTCTGGGACAACCGCCCTCCTCAGGGGGCCTGGGGCCGCCCTCACGGGCAGGGCGGGGCCGGGCGGAGGCTCCGCCCCCCTGGGGGTGCCCCACCGACCGCCGGAGGGAAGCAGCTCTCTCCCTTCTCGGCTACGTGGCGACGAGGTGGCCGCTTTCCCGGGAACACCATCCTCCTCCTCCTTCTCCTCCTCAGGGCGGCGCCGCTCCAGTCAGCGCCTCAGCCCGCGCCTCGCGCCTCGCGCCCCGACCGTTACCTCCAACGGTCACCGCGCCTCGCGCAAGGCAGCGCGTGCACCTCCGGAGGGGCGGGAAGGGGGAAGGAAGGGGCGGGGCCAGGGGAAGACGGGAATGAGGGAAAAAGCACCAAAACCTGCAGGAAACCCATATTCTCCACAGAAAGCCCATTGCCAGCAGAAGCCCATGCTGTCCATAGTAAGCCAATGCCCAGCAGAAGCCCATGGCCAGCAGAAGCCCATGTTCTCCACAGAAAGCCCATGGCCAGCAGAAGCCCATACTCTCCACAGTAAGCCCATGGCCAGCGAAGCCCATGCTCGCCACAGAAAGCCCGTGGCCAGCAGAAGCCCATGCCCACCACAGAAAATCAATGGCCAGCAGAAGCCCATGCTGCCCATAGCAAGCCTATGGCCAGCAGAAGCCCATGCTCTCCACAGAAAGCCTATGCCCAGCAGAAGCCCATGCTGTCCACAGAAAGCCCATGGCCAGCAGAACCCCATATTCTCCACAGAAAGCCCATGGCCAGCAGAAGCCCATGCTGCCTATAGCAAGCCTATGGCCAACAGAAGCCCATGTTCTCCACAGAAAGCCCATGGCCAGCAGAAGCCCACGCTCTCCACAGAAAGCCCATGGCCAGCAGAACCCCATATTCTCCACAGAAAGCCCATGGCCAGCAGAAACCCACGTTCTCCACAGTAAGCCTATGACCAGCAGAAACCCATGCTTTCCACAGAAAATCGATGGCCAGCACAAGCCCATGTTCTCCACATTCAGAACAGTTGCCCATTGTGGACGTTCATATTTTTGATACCTACCAACTTTTGAGGGAAGCTTCGACCCACAGTTGACAAAAGATGACCCTGTGCCCAAAAGCAGCCCACTGCCCCCTTTGCAGCGCTGGCCATTTTATTTTAAGCAGAAAACTCTTTTGCCACTCAACTGAAAAGCTTGAGTGTACGTGGATGTCCGTTTTCAACCATGATGGGACAATGTTCACAGGGCAGCCCGAGCCATGCCATGCTTCCCCTGCTGAATTTCAGCATTGTGCCCCAAAACATACCCGATACACACAGCTCCAATCACCTGTCCTGAAACACACTGGAACTTTTTAGTTACCTCTCTGGGAAGCTCAGGAAAGCTGTGAAACACAGCAAAGGCAAGATCCTCCAATGAAGCCTTTAGAAATCACACAGTTACACCATTTTCCCACAGTATGTTAAAAGTTTTATTGTGCAAAAATACAGTCATCAAGACTTCAGCTTTATTGTGAACTTAACACAATTCCAGTGATGTACAGGCATGGAAAGAGCTACTACTGTAATTATAGAAAATACACCATAATTTTTGAGGCAACAAAGTGGTTAAATACACTGAGATACTCCTCTCAAGTGATTCAGGCATCCTGTATTTAACTACCTTACACCAAGAGAATCAAAGAAATGACACCTAAAAGGAAAGCCAGTATCCAACTAATGAAGTTTAAGACTGCACTAACTCAAAAGAAAATTAAAAACTGTTTTAGGCAGATTCCCCAGCGATGGCCAAGAATTAGTCTGCGATACTGCAAGCGTGAAGTGTAACTCTTCTTCAGTCAACACAGTATTTATTGTGTTTCAGCAAAATAAAAGGCTTTCCTAATGCCAGTATTTCTTCCAAGCACAGGAAGATGAAACATTAACGACCTTTAAATTGTATTTCAAACTATGAGACACCAATCGTGTTGCAAAAGAAACAGATTAGAAAACAAAACAAAAACATTAACAAAACAAAAAACGTCCAGAGCTCAGCCCTCCGGCTCCATCACTTAACAAAAAAAACCCCACCAAAATAACACATTTGGACAAGAGAGGCATTGCTGAATCCTCTCACCCCCATTAAAATCTTCCTGTAGCGCCTACATGACTGAGGAAAACAGTTTTCCAAGCAATTCCTCTCCTTGCACATCCGTGTTTTAACACAATCAGATTGGACATTCATAATGTTGTTCCGTGCAGCTACTTTTTGGTCTTAACAAATTTACGTGCTTCTTGCAAAAGAGTTTCAACATCTTCACTATCCTTCTCTTCTGAACTCGGTTCCCAGTCAGAGTCTTCATCAGTAGGTTCGCACTCCTCTTCCTCATCATCTATAAAGCTGTCGTTAAGGTCATATTCATTTGGTTCATCATCGTTGACACCGTCTTTCTCCACAGCCCTTCTTCCTGTAGGGACAAAATGTCATATATTCATGAACCATAAATACAGAACTAGAGTGACCTTTCAGAGACCATCTAGTTAGTCCCTCCCCTCAAGAGGGGACAATCAGCCAAAGCACTTTACCCAATGTTGACAATTTGGGTTTGATTTTCAAGACACATGAAAAGCTGTGCCATCTCTCTTTGACCCCTACTGCAGCACTTACCAGTCTGACCGCTTACAAAGTTCTCCTTACTGGCTTTTCTTCCAGCACTTGGAAGACAGTCTCAGGCCTCTTCTGAGAATGTCTTCTGATATCAAAAGATGACAGTATCAGGTAATGTCTTCTGATAACCCTCCTTTCCCTAAGGAGGTGCACACACAATTTTCCTTGCCATCTTCCTGCTACTTCTCTCCATAAACAATCTATCTATCTTGCCATTTGGCCTCTAGCTACTGCCAGATGTCTATTGTGACCCTTGATTTTCTGCCTTCATCCACAGATACTTACGTAGGACTATTTTATACTCACACCCTTTGGAATCTGACATGGTTTTTAATTTTCATTCATTTCTTTCCCGAGCTTCAGGTGAGAGAAGGGATCCGCTACATCACGTGCCTCCTACGTTCTCAACTTGGCTCCACGCTGGACAGTCTGTGCTTCCTTTCTGAAGGTGGGTTAAGGAAACAACAAAGGCTGAACACTTCTTTCCTGAGCTGGGGGCAGCCTACCCATTTCCCCAGTTCAGTCTATTCTAATAATCGCGCCGCTTTCTAATCTGCTCTCCATCCATCTTCTTCACAACTTATATTTTGTAATCAAATTGCCTTCTGCCTTCGTGGTACTTCACAATACTCTGTATCAGCAGGAATCAAAGACTCAGAAACCTGTTTACAGGAAATGGATGCTGTTCACAGCATGTTCCTAAACTTTTGTAGACAGCTTGTTTTGCAGTATTCTTTTAATTGTTTGACTATGTTGGCACATTTAAACCAATTCCCAGGGCAAGGATAAGTCTCCTATTTGAAGAAGACTTATCTGTCTGACTTGGTAGAATCTATAAAAAGCTGCTGCAATGGCAGCATTGTCTGCTCCTTTTATTTATCGGTAGCTGTGAACCTTTAAAAACTTTATTTCCACTGCTTCATATTTTCAGCATGTTTTCAAGCCTGAGCTACCTCCCTTTTTCTTTCATGTCCACAATTCCTAGCTAGCCAGTCTGTTAATATTCCCATCAAGTGTTGCCCCCTTAAATCATACCTCCGAATAAAACCATACTCATTCCTCCTCTTCTAAGCCTCCAATTTCTGCATTCTTATTTCATTCAGAGATAACCTGTCAATGACCTTGTACAGATCATTTATCTGTTGAGCAGGTCTTATCATAGCTCATAGAAAACTATCAATATGTATTTTTTTTTTTCTCAGCTACAGATCCCAGTCCAAATCATCAACGTTTACGTTAAGCAGAAGCATTTCTTAGCAAATTCTTGCAGCCTTAGGTCAGAGCTCCAGGCACTCAAGCTATGCATGTGGTGAACTAACGAGAACCTTACGTAGTCAGATCACATCTTCTATCAGTTACATTTTTCTACCAGAGGGAATGTTACTATTCCAGAATTGTCTTATGGTCTGATTTACATTTTGCACTCTATAGCAACTCTCTGCCAAGGTTTTCAGAAGCATTTACAGCATTAGTCACGTTACTCAATGATACATAATTTTACAGGTGAATTGTGCTGCAGAAGCACTGAATGACCTCCTCAACCACGTGTGACACACAATAATGTAACTGAGAAATATCCTATGGCCAGCAATCTATATTCTCTGAAGGACCGACTGTGCACCCCCTAGCAAAAAAACCTGAAAATGCCAACAGTGAATTGGAGATGTAATTCACTATTCTGCTTGCTAGTTTATTGTTTACCAGACTTCAGAGGAAATTGATCACGCCCGTCTTTACCCCTACCAGCAGAATCTCTTGAAAGAATCACAGACTGTGGTCCTGCAGAATAAATTATGTCTTGGAGGGGAGAAGTCAAAACAAAAATGCTAAATACAAGAACAAAATCCCTCTTCTCAGAATAAGCTTATGAGAGTAACAAGGCTAAGATCTCCTTAGCAAAGAAAAGCTCTTCTTCACTTTCACAGCACTGTGGGTGGTATATTACAAGCAAAGGAGGAATTCTGGCAAAATACCAATTACTTCCATATTTTTCTCACAAATGTTCAAGGAGCATACTATGGTTTTCCTCCCTGTACATCCAGATTTCAGCAGTGAAGGATGCACTTCCTTCCATGTCTTCCCACTCCACCACTTTCTGCTACAGTTTAACTCAGCCCCACAGCCCCTAAAGCTGCTCATTTAGCACAATCCTGCCTTTTCCCTAGTAACGTATTTATAAAGATGACCTTGAAACTTTCTCTGAAAGCATCCACTCCGCGTGGGGAGAAAAAGATTGCTGTCCAGGCTGATCACCTTTTTCAAAGAGTTATATTTGGAAGAGAGCTGATCAGCTAGCTAGAAAACCTACAAACAAGCACGTAGGAGAACCCTGCACAGCAGGGTCTGTAGCCACAGCAGGTCACTTCTTGGGTAGCAACAACGTAGTGAGGTCATTGGTCATTCAGTAGTGACAATTTAATGACAGCGCAACTCTAACCTTTTTCTTCTCCTTTTTTTTTTTTTTTTTTTTTTAAATCTTCCTCCCTTACAGCTATTCCCCCGGCAATTAGCCTTAGATTATTTCTGAGACATAGACCACATTCTCTACCAGCCATCTGCAATCCCTCCGGTAGCAATTAGACTACAAATGTGAAAAACTAAACACATCAAATGTCATGTAGATGGCACCCTTCTTTTCTTGGCTGGTGGAGCTTACATACACTTCTCTGGCAATTAATCCTGCTGTGTTCAACAGTGCAGTTGTGCCAAATAAAGGCACGAAATAAAGGTTAATGGAGCCCTGATGGTCTGTGTGACTGACCCTGCACGGCTCAGTAGAACTGCTTCAGACCTGAGCTTGCTAAGCCCAACCTTTTACAAGCTTTGCCCTTAAGAGAGCTAAGCAAGCCCGTCAACAAGACATTGGAAAAAAAACCAAACCAACAACAACAACAACAAAGAAATAGAAAATCGGCAAATATGAACAGCACGTTAATTAATGAGTTCCCTTCTTTTTCCTGGGCACAGAATACCAGTTCTTCCCTGGTTCTTTCTCAGTAAGAGGAACTGAAATTGATACGTTGAATTTCATTTCTGTGTTTAAGTTTTATGCTTACAAGAAAAGCTCTTTGCCACCCATAGTCACGCTTGGCTGACCTCATGCCATGAGCTGTACACACCACTCGGGTAAGGAAGGTATTCTTATGGAAGCACAGCTATGGTTTAAAACCTTCCAGATTTAGCCGTAGAGCAAGGAGGACTTCAGATAGGCACACAGTTCAGCTCGCTTCATGATAAAATCTTAACGCCTCACTGTTCTTACAACGCTGCTAACAACTCTCACCGTGCTGTCAAATTGAGTATTACAAGGGAGCAGTGACCAAGATGGGGCTGGTACCTGCATCATGGGGTACGGCAAAACAGAAAGGTAACAAATGTGCCTCAGAACATGCCAGTGCACAGATACAACCATATTCACCATTCAGTGATAGCCAATCGCGCACATACATGACAAGGAAATGGGATGGGAAAGACATTTCTCAGCAGAAAGTACAAAAGCAACCTCTTGTATCCACCCACAACAGAAATGGAGGCCAAAAAACTTTGCCTAGGACACGAACTATACCTATTTTCACTTTTTACTTCTTTTCTCTACAAAGTAGACCTCTCTATTTTGAGGATTTCTGTAGGAGATCATCTTGGCGACCTCAAGAAAGACAAGCCAGTTCCCACTTCCACTTGAGATGCAGCAGTTCCACATCCTCATCCTTTGCTCAGGCCGGTGACAGTGAAGACAGCATATCATCAGACTTTCAGACAGCTCTTTAAAGCTCACTTTTAAATTATTTTAGAAAGAATAGGCACCTTCACTGGTGGAAGCCGAGACACAAAAGAAGCCTGGAAACAGACCTAAAGGATATTTAAAACTGGAGCCTATGCACCCGCAATGTGTAAGATAACATTGTTGGCTGCAGCAAAGCAAGCTGGGTGTGACACTGGTAAATATAAATATCCTATATTCATGGAGAGTATTACAATTTCCACTATTAAGAGAGACTACAGCTTCCCTGTGCTACTATGTAATCCTCACTGATGACTAGAAATTAAAATAAGAAGGATAAATATATGGCTTAAAGTGAAAGCTGCCCCCAACTCAAAGGCATTAACCTTTCTCTACACTGTGGTCTTAATAAGCCAGTATCTTACCTGAAACATCGATACCTCACAGAAATTATTAGAAAAACTCATCAGCACATGCACAGATAGCCCTTGAAAGTTATTTAAAGGTCAATGCAATGCAGAAGGAATATATCAATGTCTCAAGAGCAGTCAATCTTTACAGGGCAACCTCAACTAGCTGTGGATGAAATATTGGATTCCTTTCATCCTACTATGACCCCTGTGCAAGGAAGGAAGAATCAATTTAGCCTCATGTGTCTCTCTTTAAAATATATGGTTTCTTGCCTGCTTCCAGGGAAGTACAGGTACGCCAGCCCAGGAAAGCCTGACACAAATCCAATCTCAGCAGTATTACTTGTGATAAAGCAAACAGGGTTTTACTGAAATAAATGTCTACTTTCTCCTCAGGTTAAGTGTTATCAAGCATCTCCAACATTATGAAATGCCCCAAAACGGAAGCAGATCAGTTGCATCCCATGCTGATGTGCCCATTCACAACAGTAGAACATGCTCACCGTTTTTTGAAGTTCGTTGTCGGGTTCCTCTTTGAGTTACTAAAGAAAGGAAAGTTGTTAGTCAGGACAGAGTACAATGTAGCAGAAGGGTTATTCACAATAGGATTTTACAATTACAATAGGAGACCTATTAAAATAAATGGTGCAATGGTTCTGCTGTAGTTACAAGTACAAAACCAGCTCCGCTGCCCAAAAAAAACCCCTCTTTTTTTTTTTTTTGGTATTGAATGATTTTTGACAGAACATCCAGATGAACTGTTCTTACTATTATGAACCGTGCCACCTGCAGACAAGTGTCACGTGGTTGGATTTTTTAAGTAGGAAATTGGAGTATTTCAAAACAATTAAATATTTTACATTACTGTTGCCATAAATGCTATTTCTCCTTAATAATGTCATAATCCTGATTCTTTAAAGTAAAATACATTATCATTACATTTCCATAACTGTTGTGCTCTGAAATATCGTTTATTGCATTGGGATTTCAAGTGGAAAAAAATCTCCAAGTCCAATAATCAAGTAAAAAGCACAAAAAATGCAAAGAACAGAGGAAATGTAAACAGTACATTCCCATGTGTTCTTCAACAACTCTAGTTACTGAAATATAAAAGACTAGAAAATTTTAGAACAGAAAATCAGATTCAGATTTAATAATATTCCATCCAAACCTCAAGAGAACATACATGCAAAAATTTGTTCTCTCAGTATTAAAATCACTGGTCCAAAACCAAATTTAAAATAAAATTTAAAGAGAGTGACATATGCTTGCAGTGTTTGTTTTAGAGCATCACAAGACTTTAAAATCATGTTACCTGAGGATTTCCTAGCAAAAGAAAAATAAGAATAGAAAGTAAGTATGAAATATTAAGATATAAATCCATACAGTTAAAACAAAATATTTCTGCATACATATTTTGCTATGGGGATGGGAGAAAAGCTACAGAAATCATTTACTGCAGTACCAATTCAATACGTTGAGAAACACTTCAGTAACACCTAAATGTATTCCCCGTTTTCCTTGTAATGCTCCAGCTCTGAATGGAGGAAGCAGAATACAGAGATCCGGTAGTATCACACTGTACCATGTTTCATTTTCAATAAAACCCATTAAATTCATGAAAATAGCCACTTGCCACACAGCAGTTTTGTCATCATGTGAGATACAAAGCAAGATCCAGGGTGCAAGTTTGCAGTGACCAGGCACAGTGGCCTCCCTTGTCACAGACAAGGGCAAGACCTCAAGCTTAGGAAGCCCAAGGGTGCAGGGTGATACAAAGTCAGCTGCAAATGTGTGTTTTTCACTTACAGCAGTTGAGAGCATTTTAGTCCAAATTTTTGGTATCTATTACTGGGTTTGGGGGCTTCACCCTCACAAAGCTTTAACTACATCGAACAACTTGGCTTACCCGGAGGAGCACTGTGCTTGTATTCTAGCTTATGCTGTGGATTCTTCCTGCAAAGAAGAAAACAGTAAAAGCTTGATTTGCCACCTTGTCCCACACTTACCTTGGCATTTTATGGATAATATTCGTTCCTTTTTTTAAAAAAATAAAAAATTCTGTGACCAGTGCGTTACTGCAGCCTCTCAGCTTATAGAATGTAGGCTTGAAAAAAATCAGGTTAAATAAAGAGTTCCTCTTGTTTCAGCATGAAAAAAAAATAGATGGCTGATCAAAAGCAAGAAATGAAATAGTTTCCAAAGTGGTATGCTAAGATGCGTTTGTTGAACATCATAATAATATAGTATTTACTCTCACTAAAAATGAAACCGGAATGTAACTTCTGGTGCATTAAGTACAATGCATGCAGAATGCATTACAGATCTGAGATATGCAGGGATAGTTTCCATATTCTGAAACATAAGGCTACAAATTAAATAGTTTGGGAAAACTAAAGGATTTGAGAAGAAGTGCTTGTGTCGAAGATCTCAGGGAAAGGCTACAGAAAGATTCTTCAGAGATTAGTCTCTTCTGCAATATGCAAATTCACTTTACAAGTTTGTATGTCTTCTATTAAAAAGAAACCCAGCATCAAATCAATGAAAGAAAATTTTAAGTAAGCTTCCTCTTCAATCTGCAGTACATGTTCCCCTCATTCAGGCTATGATCCAGGTCATTAACACACTGATTGATCTCCTCCCCCATTTATCCAGTGCTGCTCTAATGTTTTAACTTGATCTGACTTACATTATGCTAACCCATGTTGTAGGAGGTTTTTCTCAGGGCTGCACATTAAAATAGTTTCAACTCGACTTATTTTTGTGCAGAAATTTTTTTATAAATTCTAACATGGGAAGAAAACCAGTTCAGTTGTCCAAATTTTTGCTTCTGAAAATAAGCAACAATTAAAGCCCGCTATTTAAGAATGACAGATCATGTGACATCGCTTAAAACTTGAGATGACTTTCTGCAACTGCAGAATTTTGTGTATATTTTACAAAATACTAAGTCTGTGAAGACCGCATTGTAAAAGCGGTTGCTTATTTATGTTTTCTTATTCTTCAAAGAACAGAGTAATGCTGTCAGTCCTCAGTAGAAAAATCTTATTTTTCTGTCAAATAACTTGAGACAAATTCATAGGCTTCAAGTTGATTTATAATTCTATAGCTACTGCCATCCCAAAGTACCTTATGTGTACATGAGATAGAAGTGATAGTTATCTGAATAAAAAATGAAAATACAGTCTCCTATTAAATACACTGTACTGGAACAAAAAGAATTGCCTATTTCACTGTTTTACTTCTATCGTCAACAGCAGACCATTTGATCCCAACTCAAGGCATAGCATTTTGATCATTTAATTATGTTCCCTTCTAGTAATAGCCAACAGATAACGACAAACAAAAATAGCAAAAATTGCACCTGTTGCTTTGTTGAAAGAATTACCCACTGCTTCATGGTGCCCGCTGTCCTCTACCCCCCAGAAATGAAACACAGATTAAGAAATGATCAACTAATACAGTACAGAGATTGTCTAATCTGGAAGGAGAGAGGGTTTTGGCTTTGGATAAAGCATCCATTGTACTCCTGAAAAGTACATTGGTGACTTTGTTACTGATTTCTCAATTTTATGTTTTTCAGAAGAGAAACATCTTTTCTGCATGAGCTGAATATAAGATGGCGCTTTCTTAAAAGCCACCCCGATTTTGTTACATTTCTTAGAGAACACGCTCTTGAGGATCATCCTGCTTTCTGGGAGAGAGAGAAAATGTTTCTGCTCAGGCAAACCTTTATTAGAGGCAGCTGTTAGTTTCAATGAGCCCCCACATTAGTGGTATTGCCTCAAAATACATCCTTCTGTCCATCGTGTCAATTACAGAGCAGTCATTAAACTCTGCTAAATAGGAATGTCAAAACTAGACACTGAGAAACAAAAAGGAGTAAAACAATTTCTGAAGAAGATCAACAGTGCCCAAAAGAAACTGAAGTCCATAAACTGGATTTTATTGCTGTTTTACCTAAATTATGCTTTCTAACAAAGCGAATACTGATTAAAATAGTTTTTGTACAAGAAAAGCCATTTTGTACAATGTTTCTACCTGTAACAAGCCGTTCCGTATGGACATTCAGGCCGGTTATCATTGTTATCCTGAGTTACCATCTCTGTTTCATGATAGTCATCGTCATTCGGGTGACTGAACTGCTGAAAGTGAATGGGATTCTTCCTGCAAAAGACAAATATATATCGAAAACTGACTGTTCCATTTAAACACAAGAAGTGGAGATAAGAAGGGTGTTACTTAATCAGCGACAACTCATTTTTCTGTGGTCACATAAAAAAGAGCTTTTAATGTTTAACTTCATGCAGAATGATAGACCTACTTCACGATAACAGAAGAAAAGCCTTGTCTGCACAGGCTGCAAAGGAGGTTAAACCAGGAATTTTCCCATTTGCCATCAGCTTTAAGTTTCAGACTTCCAACATGTATACAATCTACTGATGTAGTCATCCAGCATGAGTCTTACTCAGTGGACAACTTGCTCAGGTACGACTCCATCTGGAGTATCGAAGTGCAACAGAAACTTCTACTTCAAGTCTCAGCACGAGTTGGAAGGGCCAACCCATGGCAGCTGAACAACTGCAGTACTAAAGACTCCCCACAGCCTCGGGTTATCACATACAAGCTTCAGGCAACCTGTCTCAACTGTTATTTCTGTTCTGTATGCAAGCTGCTACTCACTTGAATACTTCAAATGCCATCACAGTATTCCAGGTGGAGCAGTCTATCGGACGCTACGTTGACTATGCTGTCGAGTTTGGTTGGCTGCCATGACATTTTATTTGAAATATCAAATTGCAATGGTGACATGAAGTTGTACCATAAGATGTAACAGTTCTGCATGTTGTTGACTCACAGCAGTGCCAGTGATGAGAGCACATTACCAGCATCCACGACTTCTTGCTCTACAACATTTCCATAGTCAAATTCAAGTAGTGAACACAAACATATGTATCACTGAAAGAACGTTTCTACTGCTCCTAGGCAGTATGTTTGGATACACACCATAGAAGACAAGACAGCTGTAACAACACTACTCAGAGAAGAGCTTGCATTACAAAACTTGTGTAAGCGATGTTAAAAAGAACACAAAAACAGGTTACGACTTCAGGAGAAATTGACATGGCAGATCAAAACATACTACAAAAATTAAGTCAGAGTGAACATACTGGTACCAAAAGCAAATCTACTTTTTCCCCTATGATTTCAAGACACTTTTTTCCAAGCATAATATTTAAAAGCATGGAATGTGGGGTATTTTAATATTTTCCAAAAGACATCCACAAAATACTTCAGTGATTTACCACACCAATTCCCAGAGTACATAATCTTCAATGTGTTTGTGCAAATTATAAAAGTGAACTATTTGCCTCAAGCAAGAGGAATGACAGCTGCAACCTACAGAGTGATTACTGCTTTTATTTACACTTGTTAGAGCTGCATTTAGAAACACAAAGCCAGAAACACAACAGCTTCCTCATTGATCACAGGTATTCTCTCCTTTAGATTCACAAATACCTTTTATGAACTTTATAGGGAACACCCAATATTAATTTCAGCATTTCACCTACTACAGTAAGAAAAAAAAAAAAGGCTTCTCTTACAGCTTTTGCAAAGTGATTACTCAAGCACTGTGAGCTCGACGAGCCGTTCAGGCTTCCTTTGAGGCATTCAAAAACGATTAGATATTTAGTATTAATACTTCAAATCTCCATTTGCCTGGTATCTTTCACTCAGGAAGCTCCACAAGGGAGCTACAGACAAAGTCTTCAATAAGATACTTATCAAAGACCCAGTATTGCTTGAGTCTATTTACAAAGGTGACAAACTTCTTGTCCTGGTCTTTTCTATTAATTTCCGCAAATTGTGAGGTAAGTAAATTGTATCACTAGGTATTATTGCAAAATTGCATTTACCAGTCATTTACTCCACCACAAGCTCTCAGAAAACATCACTTGGATTGAGTTCAGGCTGGCTGCCTACTTATTTTCCCATTTAAAAATAAATGGGATGAAACCAAGTCATTTCAGAGGCTGCTTTGTTTTCTAAACGCATGAAGCTAGCTTATTAGCAATATAAGCAAGAATTTTGAGTCATTTGAGACACAATTCATCTTCTCAAAGCAACTAATATTCTGTAAAATCGTGTTTATATTTATTCCTACAATAAGATACATGTAACATCACAGTCTCTGAGGAAAGAAGGCCTAATGGCTGTAATTTAGCCAACCTATTGTATTTTAGAAGATACCCATTTCCTCTCAAAAGATTTACTTTGAAACCTACTTGGACAACACCAAACAGCCCCCGTTGGAGGAGAGGGGAAAAAAAAAAGAAGAAAAAAAAAAGAAAAAAAAAAAAAAGAAGAAAAAAAAAAGAAAAAAAAAAAAAAGAAGAAAAAAAAAAGAAAAAAAAAAAAAAGAAGAAAAAAAAAAGAAAAAAAAAAAAAAGAAGAAAAAAAAAAGAAAAAAAAAAAAAAGAAGAAAAAAAAAAGAAAAAAAAAAAAAAGAAGAAAAAAAAAAGAAAAAAAAAAAAAAGAAGAAAAAAAAAAAGAAAAAAGAAAGTAGTATGGGAGGAAGCAGGAAGAGAAATAAAAGAGTCTTAATGTACACTCCCTACCACAAGGCTTTGGGATTCTTTGGGCCAGTGAATGATCCTCCTCAAATTATACATTTCCTGTGAAGCATCTTAAACATGTCCTACTTCAGATGCTCAGGATCAACAGAAATGTATTTATCTTTCCTTTACCTGGATAATTTGTATGTATCCCACTTCTACATGTTGTGCAATGATATCCAGCAAAATAAATAGGAGCAGGGAAGTGCATAGCTTCTATTAAGCAAGCATTTTCCCTTCTTGCAAAAATCTGAAGCTTCTTTCTTTTATTAAGGGTTTGGTTTGTCTGAGGTTTTTTGGGTTTTGGTTTGGTTTTTTTCAGATCCAAAAGATTTGAGTTGTAAGAGCACAACATCTATCACACTGTGAGTTGCACTCCAAAGTTAATTAGTTTCACAACAAAACCTCACTGCACAGGAGTATGTTACTCATTTTATCAAAACAAAATCATTAAGCTTTACTCACACGAAAACCAGCCAATTAAAAGCCTATTTTAAGAATAAAGTTTTATGGGAGATTTGTCTTCCCATAAACATACTCAGACAGTTACTGTAACTTTACTTTCACAGAAGCTCTGAGTTTGTGTACTCACACTTAATGATGGAGAAAATTACACAAATAAAAAATTATGCAAATAAAACTGATAAAGTTCTTCAGAATTGATGCAGTTGACTCAAGCAGAAGTTGAGTATTGTTCATTAAGACAGTATTTTATTTGTGCAGCTATCAAAAACAACTTAAAAGCTTTTTCTAATGCAAGTTTAACTGATTAGGTCCGAATCCCTGGCTCTTCATAATCACATGCAGAAAACCCTGGCCATTTTAAGGGCTCATTTTCTCAGCTACTAAAGAAACTAGTAGTGAAGATGTAATGAGTTGCCAGCAGTAGTTATAAAGCCATAGAATTCAAGCTTGAAGTGATGCCACAACTACACTTAAGATGTTTCTAAGTTTTATGTTGTTAAGTCCTATAAGACAGGACTCAAAAAGACAGATGCAGGTCTTCAGCCACCAGATTTACAAGCTTAAGGAGAAAGGAAAAATACTTTCACAATCAAACAAAGAGCAAACTATTTTAAAGAATGCACACACAAATCCAAATGCTGGTTGAGTGTGCCCTGCTTTCACAGCTACAGGAAGATTTACACACACCCAATGTGGACAAAAATTGTGGGTTATGGTTTTAGAGATGAGAGTTCAGGTCTACTGCACCCCTTCTACACAGCCCTTGAAAACGGGGGTTGGATTTATTTTTCTTTTTCATTCCCTGTTCTTCTAAGTTCAGAATAACAAGCAGCAGACAAGAAAATGAACACAAGACAGGATTCAAAGGGTAAGTCCCTTGACAACAAACACAGTCAGATATAACATACACAGAGCACTTTGCCTCCTGGTGGTAACAGCAGTTTCTTTCAATTTGGTAAAGCTTCAGGCTACCTCAGAAAGAGAATCCGACACTGAAAGACAATGACAGGAAAAATCCCTACAGCGAAAGGTGTGCATCAATCTCGATTCAAAAGCAGTGTTTTCAAATTCAGAAATGAAGAAACTGAACTATGGGTTACAAAATTATCTCCTAAATGTTTAAGATATGTGTTAGAGAAATTTACTGAAATTAACAGAACTAGCATTTAATCTTTTCAACTTGTACTGTTTTACAAGGCATCCATCAAAGGTGCCAAAGTCACATCCAGAAGACAAGTATCTCTTAATAAGAGCTTACAAAATGAAGAGTAGAACTCTTAAGAGCATTTAGTTATTTGGTAAATGACATTTTATGAATAAGAAACCTCACCTAGAAGAAAACTTTAGGAAACGTTCCAGTTAACAAAGCAGCACTCACTTTAGACTCCTACAGTGCATCTTGTTGGAAGACACCTTTCTCAAGGTTAAAGTAATGAAGGAATGGGAAACCAACCCATTGTACTCAATAAAAGCACTCAAAGCAGCTCCTCTTCCTTAGCAACTCTAAAATCTAGTTTTTGCTCAAGGAAAACACCACACAATGAAAAACTGAATATTTTATCAACGTGTTCCTTCGAAGCACTCATTCATGTCACACTTACATACACGGTCTGTTAAAAATATGAGTAACTGCAAAGACTTGTTTTAATCTAACATAGCTATCCCATTGATGCAGAAAGACTACTTGGGGGTCTTGTATTAAAAGCAAATACTAAGATGGACTACAAAGCGTATTTCTTTTGCTGTTTGGTCTCATGACATTTCTGGCAGATCAAAGCTCGTGTTTTTGATATATCACCTTTACAAACTTCATCAACAGAAGGTTTTGTTATGTGTTATTCCAGAGCATTCTTTTTGCTTAAAAAGCAACACTTCCCAAAAGTATTGCTTCTGAAAGTTTTAAAATAAAGACCCAAGAACAAATGTACACATACTGACTCCTGTTCCATATTAACTGTAGCTAAAATTTGCCTTCCTAAACATTAGGAATCCTTCAGCATGTTAGAGCATTAAATCAGCTTAACCCCCATACAGGGGAAAACCTGTCTTAATAAAATTAAAAGTAGCTGTAGCAAACTAGAGACTGCATTTGTACTACTGGATAGGCTTAACTGCCTAATAAAACATGTTTTCATCATATTCATTAAGGGCAAAATTTGAGATATGGGGAAAAAAGCTACATGAAAGCTGGAAAACCGATGTGTTCGTCAACATAACAGCTTTACATGTTTGATTTTCACACTGAACATAAACAAGAATCCATGTACTTGTGCTTGCTTGTTTTCTAAATAACCTCACTCTTTTTCCTACTGTTCATGCCCCCTGGGGGATAAAAATAAGGTGGCACTCAGCACTGGCATTTTGGAACTTTGCTGGAACATTTGTATTGTACATAACATTTGTAGCACAGATCTTTCACCGAGAAGTGAGAGGATATGAGTAGGAGAAAAAAGGAAAAAAAAAAAATAATTCGTTCTTCACTTGAAGTATTACCAAAGACACTGACCAGACAAGGGTTAACACGGAGCTTGTAAGCATGCCTTGTTCTGGGTTTTAGGGAGGGACTGAGAGCATCACCAAAACAAAACCTGGCAGACTGTTAAATTTATAATGAAAGTAGTTCTTGATCATTCAGGGATGACAAATACTAATTATATCACATATTCAGATCACAAAGCATGCAATAACTTCAATTAATACAATCATCTTTCATAAAAGTTTCATCTGCTAATAAAACAAGCCTACAGGGTCTATGTTAGGCATTTCAACCATTTACACCTCTTCTCCCTGCTGGTACAAGTACTGTACACACAGGGGGTTTTATTTCTTCTCTTTTTAAAATGGGCCTTTGTTTCTTATTTCCTACAACACTCCATCTCTTAATTTGCTGGAGTACTTCATCCCTTGTTTGGGTTATATATGAGCAGTTAGCAAGACATCCTGGCTCCTCATATACTTTTAAAATTCCTGTTATGCCACTTGTTTCTCATCAGTCCCCTGCTTACCAAAAGATTTTTTTCAAATCAAAGCTCGTAACGACTTTACCGTTTTCTCTTCCATAGCTAATACATTACTTCTTAACAATAAGCTATCTTAAGCTAGTTTTAATTTTGCTTTACCTGTAACAGCCTGTTCCATACATGCAAGGTGTCCTCTTACGCTTGATGTGTTTGGAGCTTTCTGAAGCATCTGCACTTCTGGTTGAATCAGAAATCTCAGTCTCGCAATCCAGATTTGCATCAGGCTCAAGAATCCCTTCCTGGGCACCAAAATTTTGGGAAGTCCTGCCCCAGTGAGCTTGTTGACTTGTAGAACCAGTAATCTGCTCTTTGTTTTCTGTTTCCTCAATTACATTTGTTTTACTGGAGAACTGACCTATCCTTTTAGAACATTTACTATGCAGCTGCCTATCATTTTTTTCCAGAGAACTTCCAGGTTTTTTTGTTCCAGTCTTGCCATTTCCTTCCATGTTTGTCATGGTACTCTCAAGGGGAAATCCAGATGCACTCTGCGGAACAAGGTTACATTTTGAAGGACCTGAAAATTTACACTCTTCAGAATTAAAAGCTTTAAAGTCAATCTCTGCCTCATCTCGTCATTCCGGCTTTCAAAAATCAGAGAATCACAGAACAGCCCAGGTTGTAAGGGACCTCAACAGATCATCTGGTCCAGCCTTTAAAACCTTCTACTCCACTTTTCAAACTAAAGTTAGCCGCAACATGCAGCTGCTAGAATAAAAGGCTCAAGTTAAGAACACAGACACACACACAATTTAAAGACAAACTTATCCTAGAGCTTCTGTCCTCAGTTTCACTTCCCTCCCAACACAGACAGGCTCTTCCCTCACCACCTCAGTTTCTGAATAGGCCAAAGACTTTAGCTTAAATTAACTTTCAATTAAACGTACTGCTCCTGAAAAATGAATGGGGGTTATACACATGAAGATACGTGTATAGATATCTGTAGAACAGACTCTAGAAGAACGTACATTCCTATATAAGAATCAATTTTACCCCCTTAAGTACCAAGGTATATGGGATGTATATATTTATCTAGATATGGGAATTCATGATATACACCTTGAGCTTAATCCCACCCCAATACATCTTAAATGCTTCGTTTCGTGACTCTAAATCGTAATAGAGTTTGTCAGTAGATACCATCAGGCAACAATTTCACTTTTGACAAACACTGCATTTTAAATTTTGGAACATATGTACACTTAAAATAAGAGATGTGTGCTTTAGAAAAAGAACAAGATACACAACCAAGACAGCTGAGACATCACCTGGCATCATACCTATATTGAAGGCTGAGCTACTTTGATACACTACAGACCTACTCAAAGGTCTCTGCTCTCTACAGTTTATTATCTAGGTTCCCCTCCAGTAAATTTATACTTAGTTTGCAAGGGTGTGTTTGGCAGAGCTTGAAAACCAGCTGGTGGTTTCCTATTTGATTTTCTTCCTTTCAATGCAAGTCTCACAAAATGTTAACCAAAACCAGAGACAATTATATCTGAGCAGCAACGTGATTAAGAAAGGGCAAAGTCAGTATTAACATCAAATCACTCTGACAGCAGCATATTTAGCAAGTCAACTTGGAGACAAAGATGACTCTTTTATCAAGACTCCCAAAATCAGGCTCAGCAAACAACTGCACCTTGGGAAATTAGTCCTTCTTTTACAAAAGGAGAACTAAATTACACTAAATTTGCCACTTCCGCCTTTGATTTCTCTACTATATACTTCAATCCATTGCCTATATTGTATATAAGAAGACTAAACACTTTCACATTTATTATGACTATTAGTTAAAAAATAGGTTGCAATCAAGGAAAAGCAGAACCAAGTGCACTATTTGCACTGGTTATAACGTGTATGTGACCTCACTGCCATCTGGTGGCTGCTGGCGCTTAGAAGAATTAATATTCTTTTTACTTCCCACCCAACAGCAGATTTTCTTAATCGCCTTAAATACAACAGAGGGAGCATAATTTTGGTTTTGATATCAGAATTCCAATCTTTAAGAGCTCTTTCTGATTTGCTTGCATTAACCCATTCTTTTTTTCTGCAAAGTTCTGAAGGCAATTTCGTACACTATGATTAAGACAAAAATGATTTATGAAATTATTAGGAGAAAATAAGTAAAGCTTCGTATTTACAAATGGCAAAATGAAATAATTCAGTAGGTAGTCACTCACCTTATAATTTGACAAAGAGCAAACAGCACTGCAGCTGGTATTAACGTACCCAGCCAATGCAAAGCTCACCACTTGGAGCACTTTTTTGGATTAAAAGCTACCACTATGATTAAGACTACCCTTAGGATTTAAGTGAAAAGCAAAACCAATCCCTACTTGTTTTCAGTGTGAAAACCAATGAAGCATAACAAATAATAGTGTTTTATCAGGTCCTTTAACAGATCCAGGCAATTCTAATGCTAGAGACTAGAAACACCTCCCCAGGTTGTTCACTTAAAGTCAGTGAAAGCCTCGCTTTGCTCTCACCAGTGTATGTTCTGTCTTTGATAACGATCCTTCTCTGTTCGTGATTAGCAGGGTGCTATCAGTAAGAATTTAACTGCCTATAAATGCAGCTGTATTTTAAAGACACACAGACAGGTTGACCAGCTGGACTGAAGTGCCTGTTCACTCACTGCCACAGATAGTTTTGGATTTCAGATTATGTATTTTCTTCCCTTTTTTGGACTTGGATTTTGAGATCGTGGCATAAGCACACTCCCTGCTATCTTTCTTCAAGACATAGCAGTTGCTAAGCCACATACCATAATTTTCTGACCATAAAATTTCACCAATTAGAATGGCACTAGTTCGGGCAAAGTCCAGTGTCACATGACATCAGTGTCATACCACCACCTACCCCCAAAGGGTTCTTGGAAAAAGAAACCACACACCAAGCCACTCCCTAGGACCAGTACTTTGGTCCACGTCTTCCAGCCTCTTGCTGTAAAGCTGAAAGTCCGGTATTTCTCTGGAACATTTGGGGCTTAAATCCCAGATCCCAGGAAAGAAGTGCAGAAAACCAAGTCTCTGAAGACTTCCAGGCTGTCCAATGAACTGGCATTTCAAAACAACTCTTAAAACAACACATCACAAGCAGAACACAAAGTTATGCTGTAACCCAACCTTCAACATGACAGTGCCAACTACATTCTCATTTTTTGAAATACCATGGTTTTCTGCCTTGAGCCAAAAAATTACCTGAGATGAAGGAACATGGATGGAAAGACAGCTCCTTTTCCCTTGATCTTGCTCTTCACCTTCAAAATCCTCTATAGTTTCTTCAGAAGCTAATCTTTTCTTCCGCTGCACGTTTCCTTCTGATTTTAATGATTCCATATCACTCTCTCCCCTTCCTTGGCCTTTTTTCATTCTACCACCTTAAAAGAAAAATCAAATGGTACTTCTGGAATACATTAGAAATCTAAAGCTACATCAAAGCAGAACACTGGGCAAAAAGCATGAGGAGAATCAGCAGTTGTGCATGTGCTGTTTCAACAACGTATTTTTCACTTCCCGCTTTTAGGAGTAAAAGTATGTTTTAGAATGAAGCAGATGCCTGAGGGGGAAATTTGAAGGAAGACAATAAATATGTGGAAAAGAATATTCTGGACCGACTCTATCAGCATGACTGAGTTTCATCTACACAGTAGGAGCTGATCAAGTAAACCGAATGTCCAAGGATGACTACTACCACAGACCTTTCATGTAAATATCCCTTCAAACTACCAGTTTATAGACACAAACATCAATTAATTAGGACATGGCAAAAATCAGGGTATGCCCATTTGCCTAGTCAACTACATCACGGTCGATTACTTCATCAGCCAGTAACTGACAGCAAGAAACTGACAGCAAGACAGCAAATATTGTGCCCCTCTTTGGTAAGCTTTACATCCCAGAAAACTGTAAGTTCTCTATACTGAAGTAATATTTTCTGGATTATAGCTGGGAGACAGCTAGGGCCATTGTGCTGCTTTTCCTATAGCTCCATCTGCTGCAAAACACATTCAGAAGGAAAATACTCAATGGCAAATTTTGCAAGACTTTAAAAAACTCTCCTCCTTCAAAAACTAGACATCACAGAGACATCTGTAGGGAACAAGGAATTTTTCCAAACGTTAATATCTAACTCCAAAAGAACAAATTGGTGTTCCCTTTCCAATAAGAAGACAAACAGAAGAGAAACGAAAGGGCAGCCTTTTCATTTTATTACCTTTCCCTCCAATAGCACCCTAAAAAGATCCGAACCTTTTCACAATTTTAAGGAAACATTTTAGATCTGCAGAAGAGATCTGTTGTTTTAGTAAAGCAGCCCATTCTAAGCTGGAATCATCTCCTCACGTAATGAATTTTTAAACAGCTCCAGTAGTGTTCACACCTATCCCTGGCTCCCTCAAGGTCAGGTCTTCAACAGCACACAGATACCCCTTGCCCACACAGCTCCAAATCTCTGCACCTATATGACCAAAACATTCAGTCTTTGAAACAAACATTATATAGACACATATAACAAACACTGTAGTAGTTGTGGAGAAAAAACAAACAAACAAAAAAACCCACCCAACCCCCCAAAAAAACTCCAAACAACCAAACATAAGAAAACAATCAGACTAGTGCAGGACTCAACAACTCAACACAGCCAGTAGCAGGTCCTCTGGTACGTGCAATTTTTTACATCCAAGGGAACAAGCCAGCAGGGAACAGTCTAGATTTGGAAAGAAAAAAAAAAAAAAAAAAAAAAAAAAAAGAGTAAAGTTTCTTTTGCTTCTTGTAATTTTCTGAAAATTAGCTTTTGAGGGAAGGCATAGGCAGGGTAGCCAATGGCATATGAAAGAGGTGTCTAAAGCCAGAATTGCCCACATCAATCCATCCAAACACCTGCATTTACTACAGGAGATAAGAAGCAATCGGTCAGGCGCTACATGAAATACTTCTGCGGCCCGGCTTGGGCATCAAGAGCCAAATTTGTCCAGTACACCATCTCAGCAGAAATAGCAGGTGGAAATAGAGGCAAGAAAGAATAGCTGTCGACACATCCCCGCCAGCCACAGTTCATACATTAATGAAGGAAATAAAGCAGTTAGCACCTAAACCACCTCGCCAAGGAACGGCAAGAGACTGGGGCCTGCTGTCTTCAGCAGAGAGAAGTCCATCTCCCATTTCTTTAGTCCTTCAGCTCCACTGATAAAAGTTTCTGATGAGCAATAAATACCTTGCAGTAAGGTTGTCAGAGAAGGACAAATGGCAGTTTCAGAACTCTTCACAAGCTCCCAGGACGAAAAGCCGGACACGCTAGAAAATTTCCTTGGGATTGTGCCAATGCAGCACCCTTGTGTCGCCCGTTGATAGGACTAGGTGCAGTTTTCTGTCGCTGTTACCACTGATACACAGCAGTCAAAAGCTTATCCTACACTCAGCAATTTGTTTTTGCAGGAAGGGCAAGAGGGAATGCCTCATTCTGGTGAGAGACTACTATAATGCGATGAACTGCTCCTCCTGGGAAGCAACTTTGGATGGAATGATCAAGTCCGATTCAGTCGCAGTTAAAAATAAACTAACACACACCACCACCCAAAAAACCCCACCTTTAAAATTAGAAGAACCTACATTTAGAAGGGCAGGGCAATACATCAGTAACTTTAAGGTGAAGAAGGCTTAAAGACACAGAAAACTACCTAGAATTTACATACTAAACAAAACAGGTGAGTTTGTAGGACCAGGCTGCAGAACATCAAATGCCCAGCTGTCTAAAGAGAGTATATTACCAGGCATAAAAAAAAGAACAGAAAGAAAATCAGCTGTTCAGAAAGAGCTCTGTCACACCCGTAGTACTGATGACAAAGGAGATAACAGGAGTCAGGCTCTGTCAGCTACCAGGCACAGAACGCAGAAAGAGAAGTAACAAATTAATACTCTACCACCACCATTACAATTTAAGACAATGGTATCAAAGCACACGAATTGGCATGCAAATGTACTACACTGCAAACCTACCTCCTTTCATGACAGGCTCAGAAATCCTCTGCACCAGGAGATCTCTTTCCAGCATCCAAGACGGAAGCACTCTCTTTCTTTGAACAGGTTGGGACTGTTCGTCTTCGTTATCATCACAAAGAGGAACCTGAAACGACATTTACTGATCAGCACCTTTTTCCAGTTACAAAAGAGGGGGGAAAAACTAGTAGCAAGTGTGTACACAGTTATGTCCTTCAAAAACAGCCTGGATAACTACTGACTTTTTGGATGGTGCCCACTGCTTTATTTATTTATTTATAATTCCTACACACTCAGAAAAACAAAGTCTATAGAAACCTTCATGCAGTAAAAAAACCCAAACAACTCCCTCGACCTTTAGAATAAATATCTATAAGGCTACAGGCTGAAAGTTTCATAGAAGAGCTATATCAGCACCTTGCTACAGAGTTTCAACACAGAAATAAGAGGAAGAGGAGGTTTAACAAAAAAAAATGCCCATTTGTCAAAAAAACCCAAGAAAAGTTCCACTAGCATTCTCTCAATTCCTTTCTCCAGAAAGGAACCACACTCTAAACAAATTAAATACACCAAAATTGTGTTCAGTACATACTTATGTACTAAAAGTAATACTATCACTTACTGAAAGTATCCATCCCAGGAATCTCAGCTACACTAAAGGCTGACATTTTATTTGTTGTACACAGCTGTCTACTGTACAATGCCATTGACCAATGTCTCCCTTCTAGCACTGTAGCACTGGATACGCAACAGAAGACCTAACAAAAATCCCACCAGCTCCATGCATGCATCCAGCCTGTCTGAAAGCCATTCTCACTCAGCAAAGTTTAAAAAAAAAAAAAAAAAAAGCAGCAAAATATTTTTGCTTGGAAAAATCTGTTTTGCTGGACAAGATGCTGGCTGCCAGCGAAAAACAGGAGAGTTATTTGTCAAGATCCGTACAAACCCACAGATAACGCAGTTCCATCAAAACTGTATGATTCAAATTAAATGGGCTGCTAGTACACTATAAACAGATATCACTTATAGGCAGCACAAGGTATCTACAGTCCAGTTCCACACTCTCCAGATACAAATTTGAGAGGCTTTTAGGCTGGTTGGGAAAAGAGTCATTCATTGCCCAAGGTCTTCACAGCTACTTACATCACAGTTACTGATGCAGACCAGAACTGGACTTTGTTCTGAACTCAGCTGCCCTGTTATTAGTTTAAATTATTCCTGTAGCAATAACAATTTTTGTATATTCCACAGAACCGATTACTGCAGCATAATTATCATCAACATAAACACACAAGAGAAATATATTTATATACCTGTATAGCATACAATCCCAAATCAATAAAACAACCCATATTTCAAGCAAACACCTTTGTAAGAATTTACTTCTCGGGGAGTGGGTGTGGGGGGGAAGTAATGAAAAAAATATTTAGAAAACACAACACCTTTGCTTCATTCTCAACACATGCTTACAAATACTAAATTTAACTTAGCACCCACCAAATGCCTGGAAGCAGTGTCATTTTTTCTCATTTTTGCAGCTCCCTGGATCTCGCAGTTGGAACAGGCGGGTTCTATTAACGATGGGCTACACGACATCTCAACAGGACGAACAGTTGGTGCTGCTTCTGCATCAGCCTCCTAATTTTTTTCTGAGAAAGCAAATTAATTTTTAGCTAGTCAAAGTCATTATGAATATAAACATGTACTTTCCACAACTTGTTCTGAAGGTTTGCCATTAATACACTTTGAAATTGAACGTCACATGCTATTACACCAACTCACAGAGGAAATAAACATGCCTTCCCTTCCCTCTTACGCTGAAAGTATTTTGAACCAAAGATTTTCCCATCGCTGCAGACCCCTACCCTACTGTGTTTTGGTTTTTTAAGTACAAAATTTATACTAGGCACTGCCATGACAAAACTTTGAGAAAGCTGAAATTACAGCTTAGGAGTTGCTTTACCGTAAATCAGGGCAAATTCTCAAAATGTTATTCTATACTGATGGTTCGGTATGAACATTAAGATAGTTTTCCAGATGAGATGCCCAAGAAATCCAGCACTTAGAATCACAGAATGGTTTAGGTTGGAAGGGACCTTAAAGTTCATCGATTTCCAACCCCCGTGACAATCCCTGGGCAGGGACACCTCCCACCAGACCAGGTTGCTCAAAGCCCCCTCCAACCTGGCCTTGAACCCCTCCAGGGATGGGGCAGCCACAGCTTCTCTGGGCAACCAGTTCCAGTGTCTCACCATCCTCACAGGAAAGAATTTCTTCCTAATATCTCATCTAAATCTCCCCTCTTTCAGTTGAAAACCTTTACCCCTCGTCCTATTGCTCCACTCCCTGGTAAGGACTCCCCTCCCCATCTCTCCTGTGGGTCCCTTTAGGCACTGGAAGGGGCTCTAAGGTCTTCCAGGAGCCTCCAGGCTGAACCCCCCCGACTCTCTCAGCCTGTCCTCACAGCAGAGGTGCTCCAGCCCTCTGAGCATCTTCTTGGCCTCCTCTAGACCCGTTCCAACAGGTCCGTGTCCTTCGCTGTGCTGAGGACTCCATGGATGGACACAGCGCTCCAGGTGAGGTCTCAGCACAGCGGAGCCGAGGGGCAGAATCACCCCCCCATTTCCCTACCCAGCCCCTTCCCGAGAGACCCCGCACCGGCGGCGGCGGCCTCCCCCTTTCCCCCGGGGGAGGAGGCCGCACCGGGCCCCGCTTCTCCCGAGGGCCGGGCGCCGGCCTTACCTCAGGCTGAGGCGGCGGGAGGAGCGCCGCCGGCGGAGATGGCCGTCGCCGCCTGATGACGTTACTCTGACGTTGCTCCCCGAAAAGCCGAAAGATTGGCCTTTTAAAAGAAAAAAAAAAACAACAACATAACAAACAACACACCGACTCCCCGCCGGGAAGCGAGGAGATGCCGGCCGGCGGAGAAACCGTCCCGGGAGCGGCTGGAGGCGGCCGCCCGGAGGGTCGGTGAAGGCGGGATGGAGGGGGCCGGGCTCCCCCGGGAAGAAGGAGGAGGAGGAGGAGGAGGAAGAAGAGACCAAGACCAAGGCGACTTCGTGGCTGTCCTCCCCCCGGAGGTCAGCTGTCGGATTTTCGGCGACCTGGACGTGGAGAGCCTGTGCCGGGCGGCCGCTACCTGCAAAGGCTGGCACCGCGCCATCGAGGGCAACGAGCGGCTGTGGCGGCACCACTGCCTCAGCGTCAGGGCCGTCTGCCGCCGGGAGATCGACGGCGACCGCGGGAACGGCTACTCCTGGAAGGTTAAAATGTCGTGTGTGTGTGTCCCAACCTGTGGAGGCTGCCGGGGAGGGTGGGGGGTTGGCGGTGGGAATAGCTAAAAGAGATGCCGTCGGGGCCACCACCTCGCCGTGGCACCAGGTTGATGGGACAACCCCCCGGGTTCAGCCGGACACAGAATCACAGACTCTTCTAGGTTGGAAGGGACCTTAAAGATCAATGGTGCCTCAAACACCGGCAGATTAAAGCTTTCTAAGACTCAGTTTGAGGTTTCAGAAAGCAGGGGGTGGCTCCTCCTGTTGTGCGCGCCGGATGCCGTCGCCAAATTAAATTTTATACAACAGGTATACGTATTCAGTGTCATTCCAAGAAAACATGAGTGGGTTTTACTGTGAGGGTGGTGAGGCGCTGGAACAGGTTGTCCAGAGAAGCTGTGGCTGCCCCATGCCTGGAGATGTTCAAAGCAGGTTGGAGGGGGCTTTGAGCAACCTGGTCTGGTGGGAGGTGTCCCTGCCCAGGGACTGTCAGGGGGTTGAAACTCAATGATCTTTGAAGTCCCTTCCAACTCTGACCATTCTACAATTCTATACTCATTACACTTCTGAGAATTCATTTACATATTATACTAAGCTTTTGGGCATGCGTAGTTGTGCCTTCTGGTGGTCCTCATTTTGAGTTAGGGTCATTTCTTCCTCAATCTTCACCTTCTTCACCTGTCCTTTGGCTCACTTTTCATGTTGGCAAACATTCTAACTGCTTAATTGCTCATTAAAACTAATGATCTCTCTGCTACCACCTGTTTGCCAGACAATGTCCATATTTATTGCATCCCTGTCTTAGGTCACCATGTTCTCAGGGCCACAGACATCCTCTTTTACCTTATTAAGTCCTGCCAAGTCCAGCCTGCAAGCTGAGGTGGATCAGGATAGGAGGGGTTTCACAGTTACTGCTCTGGACCAGGCAGAGGATGATCCCCACCTGGTGTGGGGATCTGGTGTGTTTAGAGAGCAGGGGTGCAGCACAGCAGTGAAAAGAGAAGCAGCAGCAAAAAAAACCCCAGTTCTGGGCTCTCACCTTTCAGTGAAGTTGTCTCAGTATGAGGCAAAGCCTCAAGAAGGTAGTGGTTGCCCTTCCAATGTGCAGGTTGTACGACTCTTGCACAGGAATTTCCAGAGCTTCCTGCACTGATTCTCTATTTTACCTGTATTTTGGAGAGGGGATCTGAAGTAGAAGCAAAGAACACACCAAGTCAGCATTTTACTTGCACTAAAATGTTGGCTGAAGAGAAGAATCCAGGCAGCCTGCAGTAAGAGCCCAAACAAGAGTCAAAGGTCACAAATAACCTAAAGAGAAAGTGAAAGGCACCTCATTTAAGGAGTAAGGAGGAAAATGAATTCCCGGTTTAGGGTTTTCATCTTGACCCTCAAAGAATTGAGGCAAGAAGCGATTTTCCACCCAACTTGGAAAAGTTGGAAGTAGACCAAGCTCTGCTTCTGGACAGCAGTGCACCCTCCTGGGTTTAGCGTCTAGATATCCAAAGACACCTTACAAATCCCTTTTCTTCCATTACTCTTCCAATGCAAAACTTACTGGCATTGAATGCAACTTAAATCAGTTCATTTCCAAGATCTGAATTGTTTGTTTTTTCCACCAGATCACCTTACTGAGAAACTACTGGAAAAGCAAAGTGAAGCAAGAATGGCTGAGCGGGAAGTACAGCAACGTTCCTTCACAGAACAGCTTGCCAGAGAAAAGCATGTATCCGATGGACGTCGACACGTGGGGAGAAATCCTGGAAGCAGAACTTGAGAGATGAGAAACCAGTGCTGGTTCTTGCAACTCAGGAACCTTTTATGGAGGACTCACAGACTGCCAAACTGTAAATATTTTGCCGTTCAAAATCAGTTGTGTTTGCAAACATATGATGAAAGTTTTTAAAAACGCCCTGTCATGTCTATTTTTTTTTTTAATTTGCACTTTATCTGATTAATTTTCTGTAAAATTCTAAATAAGACTCAATCTTCAGTTGTAATTTTATATTTATAAATTTAATGTTCTGCTGTATTGTCAAAAAGATATTGATTGTACTTTCAGTTTGCACTTATTGTTTTGGAAGACATTACTTTTAAGAAAAAAAAAAAAAGAAGTGTGTTTGACTTGCAGTGTATCATATCAGCAGCACAACACAAGGGCCCACAAAGGAAGGCTGGGAAAAGGGACAAATCCAGACACTGGGAAGAAAAGAGGAGAAGGCAGCCACCTCGGGATCAGGTGAACATCCCCACTGCCCAGCTCAAGGGGCAGAGTCCTCACAAGGATCTTCTCTGAAGCTGCACCCCCAGAGGTGTTAGTGCTCAGCAGCGCTGCATTTCCACTGCCTGGCTGTGGGATTTTGGGATTAGGACTCAGATCCTGGCACCAGGCAGGACTGAAGCAGCCCCTCTGCCATTAGCTATGCATTTTAGTCATTTGCATGATGAGGAGGAGAGCAAAATTTACTCCTTTAAACAAAATAACTCTGATAACCACGCAAGGTAACAACTTCATGTATGTCTCTAGTCAGGCTAAAACACATTTAGAAACTCCATTTTTTCCTACATGATGACCTCCCATCACACGGACCCTGCTTTACCAGCACCAGTTTTAGGGACTGACTTTACAAACTGCTGCTAGTGAAACGCCTGTCACGTTACTCAACATAAAAATTACCAAAAAATACATTTATTACAATTCTGATTGAACGTCACCTTTCCCTACCTACTTTGCCCTAAAGAGTATAGAATAAGTGGGAAAAGGTCCCTATTGCTTGACATATTCCTACAAGATCCAGCCACCAACCTGGGACCCATTTTCTACAGGAAGGCTTCTGCCATGCTTATGACACTTGGCTAATATGAAGAGATTCCAAATCGATTGCTGTGGACTTTGGCAGAGGACTTTGCGGCGATGTAAGGACAGAAGTGTCCTGTCTTGAACATGAGGTTCAGTGGCCCTAGATCAGGCTCCTGTTAGAGTTTTCTTAAATGAGGTCCAGCCCTTACTTTTAACTGGGGGGCCCAGTAACACTAGATGGAGCAGTAGGGCAGCTTTGCTCTGTAATGGTGACACACCATGGGCCTTTCAGCTGAGACCCAGCAGCTTTTTTTGTTTGATGGTGGTTAAACAATCCATTAGTTTAAACGTGCTTCACAATTTACTAATTTTTATTTTCTCACAATTATTTAACCATTGCAGAATACCTGGTGAAAACACCTAGTAATTTTTACATCCCTTTATTGCAAGTGTCTGGGCTCGCAGGCTGTTTGTTGTAGGTCCCTGTATCTACAGGCCAAGCAAGAAACACAACAGCAAGGTGAAACTGGTAGTTCTAAAACACTCCCAAGAACAGTACGTTCCCTGATCCCTTTTCTAGTTTGGAGCATTCAACAGATTTCATTAAAACTCATCCACTTCCCTCAAGCCTCCTATACCTTCCCCCTTAGAATGGGTTTTCAGGTCATAAACACCAGTGCCTTTTCTAAATCCCGAATAGCATAATCTAATTGAGACAGCTTTCTCATCAACAACACACCTAGTTAGCTCAAATAAAATAAAATTAAATAAAATAAAATAGAATAAAAAAAACAAGCACAACAGTTTTTCCACTAAAGGTGCTGTTCACAATATCTTTTACCCTGTCTTTAAGAGAGCTGGAAGTGAAAAAAAAAAGGTATAGAAATTCATAATGAAGAAAATAACACTATATAGTCTCCTCACCTCAGGAGTGCCCAATTTATTAATCATAAGACAGGAAAAGTGCGCATTAATGGATCTAGTCCCTCACCCTTCTCCTCGCCCAGCCTCCTCTTGTTACCTCCAGCGTCTGTAACTCCCAGACATTTATCCCACCTTCCTGCTCCTTTTCCTGCCCCTCTGCTGTCAGTTCTCATGTATTTGTCTCGGGATACCGTTTTAAAATAGAATAATTATTCTGGCATAGATCCTGACACACAGAGAGCTGTTTCACTGTAGCTTCTCCCCATTCTCGTAGGAGTGTAGGAATCACCCGTACCTGTCACGCCTCTACCTCTGTCCAGGACAGGTGGCTGTGACTCCTCAAACACACCAGGAGTTACACACTCAGCTCTGCCATTAGACAAGGCCAGGACCTTTAAACCAGGAGCAGATGCTGGAAGTTTTGCATCAAAATCCTCACAGAAAGAAAAAAAAAAAAAAAAAGTATTTAAGTACAAGTTCTCATGAAAACAAAGCTTGTTTCCCCCTGGAGATTTTATACATCAATTCTGGTCTTCTGCTCCCCCACATTCTCCCCCTGCACCACCTCCTCAGCCTTTCAGCTCTGCTGCAGGCTGGATGTTCTCTCTTCCCTTCAAAGACCAGCGTCCATCGCTCCGACCAGCAGCACTTCCCACACCAGCTGCTTTGGGCTCATCTCTTTCCCCTCCTACCTGCAAGCAAAAACCACCAAAATGCCGGTGACAGGAAGACCACCCTGGTCCCTAAATTAGCACCAGTGCATAGATATCCATCTCCAGAGAGCATCCTCAGCAGCTGAGGTCATGCATGTAAACCCCAGGACAGGCACCAGAGATCCTCTCACCTACGTGGCTGGTGAAACCCTTTTTTCACAGAATCACGTGGGGTTGGAAGGACCTCTGGAGATCATCTAGTCCAACCCCCCTGCCAAGGCAGGTCCACTCAGAGCAGGTTGCACATAAACATGTCCAGGCAAGTTTTGAATGTCTCCAGAGAAGGAGACTCCACCACTTCCCTGAGCAGCCTATTCCAGGGCTCTGCCACCCTCACAGGAAAGAAGTTCCTCCTCATGTTTAGGTGGAACTTCTTATGATCAAGTTTGTGCCCATTTCCTCTTCTCCTATCCCTGGGCACCACTGAAAAGCACCCAGCATTACTGAAGCTCACTGAATGCCCACTGAACTGGGCATGACTTCAGTGCCCAGCTCTCTTACCCCTGATTTTTTGAGGAAGTGAAAAGTTCTAGTTTAGCAAGCCCCGGCGACCTTCCTGCTGCATTCACACACCACTTCTGCCCTCCTACTCGGAAGGTGCCCGAGGCGCCCATCACCCAGGCATCCCGTCACCCACACAGCCTTCCTGCCTTTCCCTTTCCTGCCCACTCAGCTTTCCTCAGGTGGAGGCCTTTGGAGAGGAGCTGGTGGGGTGCAGAGCAAACAGCACATCCTCCACCCACACACCTCAGCTACGCAACGGGGACTCAAACCGGCCAGGTTTCTGGGATGGAGAAAAACCCAAAAAGTTTCCCTGCTGCACAATATGAGCTGCTGCAGACAGCTGGACATCAAAATGCCCGGCACTGAGGCTCAAGGTCAGGTCCCCCCTGAGGTCAGTGTTTTATTTCTGCTTTCCCAAAACCTCCAGCAGCGTTTAGAACCTTCCTCACAACTGCTCAGTGTTGCAGTGCCCCATTTCTGAGGGGAGGAGCTCACAGGGTGGCTTTGCTTCACCACGGGGGCAGGATGTGGCTTCCACCCATCGCCATTACCAGTCAGACTAGGTGAAAAAGAAAGCACAAGATGTTTTAATCACTGTCGACTTTTCTTCATTAGACCACTCCAATTTCAAAGTGATTTTTTTGGTTGGTTTTTTTTCCAAGAGGAATATTTCTCCTGATAGACAGGCACTACCTTTTCATGTCTGGAAGGTTCCCAGTGACAGAGTTATTCCAACTGAAGACAAACCAATCAGGCTCAGGATTGGGATCAGCTGCTTCAGCCCACCAGTGCCGACAGAAGGGTGATAAAGGCACAAAGACTGGGGGGATGTGGGGTGTGGTAGTGGGTTTTTATCTCCAAATTAACTTGGGTAGAGGGATATCAGACTCCTAAGAGCACCCTGACATTTTGTGGCTGTTTTTCAGCTTATTGAGAGAAGTCTGTACCCGAAACTGTGGAAGAAGTCACCTGCTGCAGTTAACACTGCGAGTCAGCAGCAATTTCTCATCAGCACAACGCCACCAAGAATTGGGGGTTTGTGGTGTGTTTTGTTGGTTTGTTGTTGTTTTTTTTTTTAGACCCCAGTGCTAAGGGCTAAACCCACTTCTCGTATACTGATAAACCAAAAAAAAACCCCACTCTTCAACTGTGGGCAGAAGGAGGAGAAGGAGAGAGGTGATGCACAGCAAACTCAGAGGTCCCAGGGGACCTACCAAGACGAAACCCCAGAGGACAATTCTACGTACCAGCAGAGTTTCCCCTGAAGCCCCCTCCACCTCCTGGGGATCGGTCCTGTCCAACACTGCCACCCATGTTTGTTCAAAACAAACAAACCAGCTGCCCTAAACCTTTAATCCTAACAGGAGACAAAAAGTTGAGAAAGGCAAAATATTTTTGGCAGCAGCCTTATCTAATAAAGCTAATAAATGAAGTATGACAATACCCTGTAAGAACTTTGTTCAACTGAGGGAATGTTTTCAATAACTACCACTATTTTTCCATCCCAACGCTAAAGAACAAGAGTACTGTACAAGTTCAGGTAGAAAATCCTAACACCTAGGTTTTGCAAGATACAGCATATAGCATTTGACAGTATAGCCAGTAACAGAAATGTGCCTCAAGTTTCATCTAGTGCGGCTAACTAAACTAATCAGCTTTCCTAATGCACCTTTATTCTTGAACATCACTAATCTGTATACAGTTTTATCACTAAATTATACTCCTCTAATGTGCAGCTCTTATCAACACAGGCACTTGGAGATATTAAAGCTGGGGGCTCCACAAATGCTTAAACAGAGAGACCACAATGGCACTGCATGCCCATGAAGTAACCAAACATCTACATATGGCACGTAGGCATGAGATTAGTGGAAGTTTTTGGTGTTCTAGAGGAGTGACTAACGACCACGTGGTGTGCTGTAGCACATCTGAAATGCTTCTCAGTGTTTATATTTATATACCTGAGTTCCATTCCATGATGCCTAAAAAGCAGAGCCACAAACTCTTTTTATAGATTAGGAAGTTTAGGTCAAACAGCTTTAAGAAGGAGGAGGCAGCGTTGGGGGAAGAGGAGAAAGGGGAAATTGCAGCTGTAGCTTGGGAAAAAAAAAGCCTTAAGTAAAAATATCAAGCTAAAAAACCCCACCAACCTTATTTCACCACTTACGTACCA